GTCCTGCTTCTTTATTCCATTGGGGGTGGCGATTCTGGGCAAAGATCCCAGAACTGTTTCAGGGCCCTGTCGGCTGGAACTGAGGGCAGTTAGGGGTGACAGGGATCTGCCGCCCGTCAGACGCAGCTCTTTCCCTGCGTCCTTGCTGCACACCCGCACGGCACAGTGGGAATGCAACGCAGGCCCATGCGTAACTGAAATTTTTCTTGTAGCCACATTTTTAAAAGTAAAAAGAAACAGGCAAAATTAGTTTTAATGATGTATTTGATTTAACCCAAATATCAAAAATATGATTTCAACACGTAATCAACAGGACAATTGTTGATGAATTTTATATTTGTTCTTGGTACGAAGTCTTTGGTATCTGGGGCATGTTTTACGCTTTGGGTGCATCCAAACCCAGTTCTCAACACCACACCAGAGGTTCAGTGGGGTTCAGAGCAGGGAGGGGCTGTGAGGGCTGGAGGAGAAGGTCAAGTTATCTCTCAGCCACAGGATGGCCTGGGCTGTGGGTCTTGGGTGGGGAGGTCTCTCTGATAAGCTGCCAAGACCACAGATTCCTGGATGCCTTCCTGAGGACCCCGCCCGTCTTTCATGACCTATGTGTTCATCTGTGCGGAGCACTTCAGGTTTCCATGAGGTTGGGCACCCCCCAGAGAAGTTTCAAATGCCCCACAGAAAGAAGAGAAGTCATCACAAATACAGCGATGCTGTTATTAATATTATTCTATGATAGTAAGTGTGCACTTCAATACGATGGTCCGTACATCGTATCATAAGAAGACGGCCTCGCTCGGGGTGAAGTTCCTCTGTACCTGGCGGTGCGGTGTCCCCAGCATCCCTGGGAGGCAGGCTGGGTGCACGCTTTCCCCTGTTGGAGACCTTCTTCCCCTGCCCTGTTCTCAAGCCCAGTGCGGGCCTTCGGGGGAACGCCCCCCAGCAGGGCCCTGCCGTCCAGCTGGGGTCTGCAGGCTGGTTTTCCCTGGGTGTGGCCAACCAAGACATTAGTCGATGTGATCCATGAATTTAGGTGATTTTTCTACTGCAACGACCTACCAACTATGAGCTCCTAGCTCTATAGGCAAGAATTGAAATAAGAGACAGAGAAGGGCGTGGGTCGCCCAGGAAGAGACTGAGCGGCGGGGAGCGAGCGTGGACGAGAAGAAAAGACCGTGTCAGCCTGGCCCGGCCGCTCGCCATGGAGACCTGGATGCAGATACGCGCTGGGGACTTGACTAACACAAACGGTTCCGTCTGCCACATCCACTGTAACTTGTGAAAGAATTAGATCTTTAGAGTGCTTTTCTGAATTGATACAAGATTTCACAGCATGACCTTGGTGAAGCGCCGGGATAATATGTCTCCTACCTTGAGCGTGTCTGTGAAGGTCAAGTTAAATGACAGCACCCTGTGAACCTGAAGGCTACACTTTCATGTAGGTTGTTATTCTGATTACTCGTAATTATTAATTTTCTCTTAATCTAGCTGCCACTGGTAATAATCTTGGGGCTTCTGAGAATCTTCTCATCAAAAAGCCCCGCAGCCGCCCTGGCCGGTTTGGCTCAGCGGTTAGAGCGTCGGCCTGCGGTCCGGAGAGACCCGGGTTCGGTTCCCGCTAAGGGCACGTACTTCGGTTGCAGTTTGTCCCCGGCCCTGGTTGGTCGTGTGGGTGGCAGCCACTCGATGTGTCCCTTCACGTCGATGTTTCTCTCTCTCTCCCTCCCACTCTATCTGTACAAAAAATGGAAAAATATCCTCGGGTGAGGATAAAAAAATAAAAATAAAAAAAAAGCCCCACAGCCACCCGGGGCTGGTGTGGCCCAGTTGGTTGGGCATCGTCCTGAGCACCAGGAGGTTGCTGGTTTGATTCCTGGTCCAGGGCACATGCCCGGGTTTCGAGCCGATGGGCGTGCAGGAGGCAGCCGATCCATGTTGGTCTCTCACGTCAATGTTTCTCTCTCTCTCTCTCTCTCCCTTCTTCTCTCTATCCCCCTGCCTTCTTCTCTCTCTAAAAATCAATAAACTATTCTTAAAAAAAAAAAAGCCCTGCTGCCTTCAACTCCCTGGATAAGAACATGAATTTGCCCTCAGCCCAGGGCCCACCTTCTCGTTTAGACACAAATCCATGTCCAGTGCCAGGGGCTGGCTGGACCTGGAACTCACTCAGCCTCTCCTCCCTGACCACTACTCTTGCTGTGGTCAGATGAGAAAGGTGTTCTTCACACCTGTCCTGCCTTTTCTGAAGTCAGGTGTTCATGACAGTCCTGTGGGTTGCCCTGTGATCAGGGGTGGTTAGGGACTGGGTGAGGACCCCTTCCCTCAAGGGAAGAGCGAGTGAGTTGACTTGAGAGCAGGTGCCAGGGGCCCTCCTGGCCTCTGTCCCCAGCCACAGAGCAGGTGGTGAGGCCTCAAACTGCATAGGGGGGGAGCCCTCACAGGGACATGGAACACGGAGCTGACCACAGCCTTCACAGTTCTGACTTTCATGATGTTGCTTGTCTATTTCCGTGTAAGGATGACTCAAGATTGCAAATCTTAAAACTAAACTTGAGACTCCTGCCAGCCCCATAACCCGGTGCTGTGCTGGGAGAGAAGCCAAAGTCCTGGGCTGGGCAGCGGGCCCTGCTGAGTGATGATCGAATGTGCCCCTCCTTTGCTGCAGGGGCAGGAGGGAGTGCCACCTGGCCGGCTCACCTTTGCCAGGTGTCTCTGGGTGCCTGGGCCGAATATGCGGGGAGGCAGAGGCAGGCTCTGTTGCCTCTGCCTAGTCATGTCCTGAGTCCAGATGGGCAACATGGGCGGCCGCCCCTCCATCACTCATCCACAGGCACCACCAAGCGCACACATGGTGCAAAAGCACCAGCGTTCCCTCCTCTGCCTTTCAAAGATCCACTTTACTGAGACATATTTTGCATACAGTCAAATGCAACCATTTAAAGTGTACAGTGTGATGAGTTTTGACGAAGTGTACAGCAGTGTAAATGTCAGTGTAATCAATTATCAAAAGTTTCTATCACATCCGAAGTCCGCCTCTCCCACTGCAGCTTCTGTCACTGAAGTTATGCCTCTTCTAGGACTTCACGCAGCTTTTTTTTTTTTTTTATGGTATGTGCCCCTCTGTACCTGGGACTCTCTGGTCCGCAGGCCGACGCTCAACCGCTGAGCCAAACTGGCCAGGGCAACTTCACGTAGCTTCAATCCAGAGGCGTGTGTTGTTTTGTGTCTGGCTTTTTAGTCAACCTAGTGTCTGTGACATTCTTGTATGTTGCCGTGGGTACCAATAGTGTTTTCTTTGTGTTGCTTAGTAATATGCCACTGTACAGGTATATCATAATTTTTTTCAATTACAGTTTACATTCAATATTATTTTGTGTTAGTTTCAGGTGTACGGCATAGTGGCTAAACAATCATATACTTCACACAGTGCCCCCACCCCCGATATTTCCAGTACTCACCTGACACCAAACATAGTTATTACAGTATTATTGACTATATTCCTTATGCTGTACTCTACATCCCATGACTATTCTGTAACCACCAATTTGTAATTCTTAATTCCTTCACATTTTTCACCCAGCCCCCCACCTGGCAACTATCAGCTTATTCTCTGTATCTATGAGTTTGCTTCTGTTTTGTCTGTTCATTTATTTTGTTCTTTAGATTTGACATATACGTGAAATCATGTGGTATTTGTCTTTGACTTATTTCTTATTAAATAATTTTTTTTCTTTATTTATTTTAAATAGGGAGAGGGAGAAAGAGATAGAAACATCAATGAGAGAGAACATTGACTGGCCACCTCCTGCATCCCCCCACTGGGGATGTGGCCCACAACCTGGGCATGTGCCCTGACCGGGAATTGAACCAGCGACCTCTTGGTGCATGGGTCAACGCTCAACCACTGAGCCACACTGGCTGGGCTGTCCGACTTATTTCACTTAGCATAATACCCTCTAGGTCCATCCATACTGTCACAAATGGCAAGATTTCATTCTTTTTAATGACTGAGTAATATCCTGTTGTATATATGTACCACATTTTCTTTATCCATTTATTTATCAGTGGACACTTATCTCACAATTTCTTCAATGTTATCTTATTTTTGACTTTGCAAGCGGTGGTCTTTTCAGTCCTCCCTCCCTCCCAAAGGGGGTGACCCTCTGTGCCACTGGAGGTCTTCTGTATGTACTGAGTTTTACCTCCTAGTTCTTCCTGCTAAACTCGGTTCTCTCTCCCCATCCCTGCCCCCTCCTTTGCCTTTGATCTTCTGCAAAGCAGAGCGACTCTTCTGCTGGTGGTTTAAGATTATGTTACAAATAAGCACCTATTGCACCAGTGATGTAGAGTAGCATCAAGAGATGCAGCCAGCCCTGGCTGGTGTGGCTCAGCGGTTGGAGCATCGGCCTGCGGACCAGAGAGTTCTGGGTTTGGTTCCCGCTAAGGACATGTACCAAAAAAAAACGTGTGCAGCTCCAACAGCCCTGCATGGAGGACTCAGCACCAACTTCGGCAGATGGCCAGTCCCCTCACCCACCCTCCACATGGGTGCCTGTACCAGATGCATGTCTTACTTTATATTTTCCCTCATGTGGCCACTCTGATTTATCTGTGGATGTATCACATGAAAAATAATTATTTTAAACTTTGAAAACATTTTAATATACAAATATGGTAAAAGATAAGATTCGAACAGTACAGAAGAACGTAAACGGAAGGCGGGATCTTCCTCCTGTTATTCTCATTTCAAAGGCAGCCACTGTAAGCAGGTTGGTGAGAGTTGCCCCAACATGTCAATGTCTGACGTGCATGTTGTTTCAACCCCAAAGAACTGGGCCTCCACATCCTTGCTTTGGCTCAGTGATAAGTCCAAAGGAAACACGCATCTGGCTGCACTTTGGACAACAGCCTAGGTCTTTGCTTGGTCTGCACCGAAGGTGTCTGAGAGTGATAAGGAGACAGGTACACACGTGTCTCCGTCAGGACGCCCTCTTTTCTGTTAGACAGTATTGGTGCTCACAGAGTGTCTGCATAGCTCACAGCTGGGGGACTCTGCAGAAAAGACACCCCCAAACCACATCTCCGGTGTGGTGGGTTTTATAGAGAATTCACATCACCACTTTCTGATGCAGACACGGGCTGATCTGTCCCTGGGGAGCCGTGTGTCCACCCCTACCTGCCAGGTGACCTGGGAAGCCCAGCTTCCAGGTATTCCTTTCTGTTGTGAAGGGGGTTTTTGCCGTCTAAAGGGGGGGTTCCCAGAGACAGAGGTTCAGGTTCTGGACAGCCCAAAACTCCTTTAAAAGGTTGTCTTTTGTCCCAGCCCCAAATCTCTCTTGCCCTCTTTCTCTCTCTTTTTTTATCCTCACCTGAGGACATTTTTTCATTTTTGTTCAGATAGAATGGGAGGGAGAGAGAGGGAGAGAGAGGAAGACAGAAAAAAACATCGATGTGAGAGGGACACATTGAGTGGCTGCCTCCTGCACGACCCCAACCAGGGCCAGGGATGAATTGCAACCGAGGTACATGCCCTTGATTGGAATCGAACCCATGACTCGTTGGTCTGTGGGCCGATGCTCTAACCGCTGAGCCAAACCAGCCAGGGCCCTCTCGCCCTCTCTTTTTGCCCGACTCTGTCTCCTTGACTCTCCCCCTCGCCCAACCTCCTGTCCTACACCCCGTGGGAGCCCTTCTGCCCTGGGCTGGTGGGGGAATGGCAAACCTTTACCCTGTAACAACCTTTACCCTTTACCCCTTTCATGCATACACGTGAGAAGGACTCACACACGCGTGCACTGTTTACACAAGGCGGAGATGCCTCTGCCGTGTCTGGCTCCTACCCCTGTGGACTGGAGAGCGTTCTGTTCAACACAGAGAACGAGGACTGCGTTTTGCTTTTGATGGATAGTGAACGAACCATGACTGAGTTACGCTGTTGCCAGCCTGTAGGAATCCACTGACTGCAGGTTTTTTTTTAAACAAATGGCTAAGCATGAAAAAAAAAGGTCACTGCCCTCTAGTAATTTATCATCTAACAATATTTGTAATGAGAAAAAAACAAAAACAAAAACAAACCAGAGACTATCTTATTGGTTTTCAAATGTCAGATTAAAAAAAAAAAATCCAACACATTTTTGTTATAAAAGTCGCACAGTGAGGAGCGATCGGAGCCCTGGCGCACTGCTGGGGAAGACGGATGGCGGTTCCGCAGCGAGACGAGGGACTGCCAGACGGCGCAGATTCCAGGTGGACGGGCCATCTGCAGGCTCAGGCTCGGACAGCTGCACACCCATGTTCGCAGCAGCATCATTCACGACAGCTGAAACGTGGAGACAGCCAAGTGTTCACTGACAGACGAACGGATAAACAAACGGGGCACAGCCCTACTATGGACGCCACTCAGCCTTAGAGAGAGTGAAATTCTAACACATGCTACATACAACATGGATGAATCTTGAAAACATGACAGGTGAGACCCAACAGTCACAAAAAGATAAATATTGTACGTTTCCACTTCCACGAGGTACCTAGAATGGGCAGAATTATACAGACAGAAAATAGAATAGAGGTTACGAGAGCTGGGGGACAGAGGGACAGGCATTGGTGTTTAGTGGGGACAGGGTTTCAGTTTGGTGAGAGAAAATGTTCTGGAGTTGGATGGTCAACATGGTTGCACAACAATGTACTTAATGCCACCAAACTGTACACTTAAAATGGTTAAAGAGCCCTGGCTGGTTTGCTCAGTGGTTAGAGGATCAGCCTGCAGACCAAAGAGTCACGAGTTTGACTCTGGTCAAGGGCACGGACCTCAGCTGCGGTCTGTCACCGGCCCTGGTCGGGGTCGTGTGGGAGGCAATCAGTAGATGTGTCTCTCTCACATCAATGTTTCTCTCTCTCTCTCCTCCCCCTCCCCCTCCTTCCCACTCTATCTGAAGAGAAATAGAAAAATATCCTCGGGTGAGGATTAAAAAAATGTTTACAGAGGTAAATTTTATGTTATGTGTATTTTACCTCAATAAAAACAAGGAATTCGTGCATATGGTAAACTGGTCTATTCAAGAAAGTGAACACTTTCCAAATGGCTGTCCCTATCCCCTCCCCTCGCCACCATCCCCGTCTGGCTCCTCAGTTACCCATTGACAGATGTCGGTGGATCCTTCCAGATACTCCCTATAGACGTGATTGTCCTTTATTATATTTAATAGAATTATGCTATTTATTATTCTGCATAATTGTTTTTTCACTTGTTAACTTCACAGCCATCTCTCCCTTTCCGTGTAGACACACCCACCTCCTTCCGCCTGGGCTGCAGGTAGGGGACACCGTAATCTAACCTGGTTTACACGACCCACATCTGGGCAGCTTCCATTTCTTTACTCTATAAACTGAGCGTTGAATATCGTTATGTGCCACATTAGTGACCTTTTACATTGCTGTGGGACTGTATCTACTGGTAAATTCCCAGAAAAGGGCTTTCTGGGTCCAAGGCACGTGTGTTAAAAGTGTTGACAGATATCGTCAAATTGTCATGCAGAAATGGTGCCCAATTGACATTCCTACCAATGGGCGCACTGGTCCTTCCTCCTTCCTTTCTTCCTCATCGGTACTTAACAAACAGCCAAGCAAAAACTTTTCCTTTTTCCATAGTGACATAACAGGAATAAGAATAAAATATATATTACAATTTCTCATAGTTTGGCTCAGCTGGCTGTCTCGCATCCAATACAGGGAACACTCTTCATTTTACTTTGTCATATCACGTCTTAGTCCAGCATTTTTCGTGTTTATCTGACTTAAATTATCTTGAAATGTATGGGTCTTAGGCATGCTTTTTGTCTTGTCAATACAAAGTTAAAAATAAATCTTTCGTTCTAAGGAATGAACTGTGGGCTCAGGGCATAATTTTCTTCCAGCTGCGATCACACTGTATATGACAATTTCCTTGTCATTTCTCATTGAAGTTTTGAACAAGTAATACACTTACATGGTTCACAATGAACAAATATGAGCCAGTGTACTGTGGAAATCTCTTTCCCTTACATCCCATCTCTAATTCCTACCACCATCCCTGTTCGCTGAAACCCTGTTTTCAGTTCCTTACAGATTCTTCCAGAGTTTCTTTATGCAAATACAAGCACATACAGATATAGATTCTTTTTCCCAGTTTTTTTTTCTTTATTGATTTTAGAGAGAGAGGAAGGGAGAGGGAGAGAGAGATAGAAACATTGATGAGAGAGAACATGGATTGGCCGCCTCCTGCATGCCCCCCACTGGGGATCAGGCCCACAACCTGGGCATGTGCCCTGACCAGGAATTGAACCGGCGACCTCTTGGTGCATAGGTCCATGCTCAATCACTGAGCCACACCAGCCGAGCCGGATATAGATTCTTATCCCTCTTTTTCACATAGCATGTCTTACACTATCTGTTCCGCCCTCCTGGCAATCATTCCTTATTAGATGGAGAACTTCCTCATTCTTTTTCATAGTTGTGTATATGTAAGATAATTCATTTTGGAGGGACCTTATTTCGCCAGCCCTTTATTGGTGAGTATGAATGAGTACTATTTATTTTACTATTATAACCAGTGTTGCAATGAGCTTGTGCACGTGGTCCTTTTGTGTGTGTTCCAGTCGATCTGAAGTGTAAAAGTGGAACTGTTGGGTCAAAGGCTCTGTCTTAATTCTGAAATGCTGCCAACGACTGTGTGGAAATTCCTTCGTCCGCAGCCTTGCTAACAGTGTGTATTATCAACCGGGTGGATTTCTGCCAACCTGATAGGTGAAAATTGGTATCTGTAGTTTTAATTTGCACTTCTCTATGAGTTTGATGGTATTTTATACATTTAAGCCCATTGTGTTCTTTTCTTTGAATTATTTCTTATTTTTTCTCCTATTGGGTTATTGACCTTCTTCTAGAAGTTCTTTATGTATCAGGGAGACTTGACCTTTGTCTGTGATATGAGTTGCAAGCCTCCTTCCCTGCAGTTTGTCATGTCTTTCGGCTTTGTGTGTGGTGCATTTTATCTTTTTGTTGTGGTTCTTAATCCTCACCGGAGGATCCTTTTCCCACTGATTTCTAGAGAGAGTGAAAGGAGGGAGGAGAGGAAGAGAGAGGGAGAAAGAAACATCCATGTGAGAGAGACACATCCTGTACATGCCCCAGTCAGGACTAGAGACTGAACCCAAAACTCAGGTACGTGCCCTTGCCTGGGAATTGAACCCACGACCCTTTGGTGCTTGGGCTGATGCTCCAACCACTGAGCCACACTAGCCAGGACTATTATTGGTTTTTAACTGTCATTGCTTTTATTATTTATTTTAATTTTTTTAACTGAAAGAATTGACAATTTTATTTTCACACTTCACAATTGTGAACCCTAAGGGGTAAAAAAGGCATCTATTAAGAAGGTTTCCTAGTGGTTAACTGGGCTTATATAGAAAACAAAAACAAAACAAAAAAACAGCAGCAACAACAACAAAAACAGCAGCCATTTCTGCACAGAGGCCTCTCAGACACAACAACGATTCTTTTTTGATAGGAAGAGGGAGTGAGTCTTCCTTGTCACCCGGTTAGAAAACATCTGGAGTCACAGCACCCTGGTCTCCTGGTAAAGTAGAAAAAGTAATATAAAACTGATAGGAGCCCTGGCCGGTTTGGCTCAGCGGTTAGAGCGTCCGCCTGCGGTCCGGAGAGACCCGGGTTCGGTTCCCGCTAAGGGCACGTACCTCGGTTGCAGTTTGTCCCTGGCCCTGGTTGGTCGTGCGGTGGCAGCCACTCGATGTGTCCCTTTCACATCGATGTTTCTCTCTATCTCTTTCCCTCTCTCCCTCCCACTCTATCTGTACAAAAAATGGAAAAATGTCCTCGGGTGAGGAAAAAACAAACAAACAAACAAAAAAAACAAACTGATAGGAAACCCCCCCTTGGGCGGGGGGGGGGCAGCTCAGTTGGTTAGAACGTTGTTCCAATATGTCAAAGGTTGCAGGTTTGATCTCAGGGCACGTATAAGAAGCAACCCATGAATGTATAGATAAATGGAACAACAAATCGATGTTTCTCTCTCTCCCTTCCACTCTCTCAAAATCAAGAAAAGAAAAGAAAAGAGAAAAAAAGAAAAGAAAAGCACAAAACAAAAAAATGAAAGAGGCTTCCCTCCTTATGTCTGGTTGACTCCTGGCCCAGTGGGCACCACCATGGGATGGGCGGAGGTCTCATCATTAGGGGCCCAGGCATCATGCCATGTGCCCTCTCACAGCTGACCTCATTCCAATAGAGGTCCCACTGGCGTCATCCCGGGAGGAGGAGGGCCCATCATTGGCAACATGGGAGGGCCCCCTCATATGGATGCTGGCATTGTACCAGGGCAAGGGGGACCCAGGAGACTGGGGGAGGTGGGATCATCGTCCCTGCAGGAGTAGGAGGTATCTTTCCTTGTTGAAATGCTGCAGCTATTTTGTCAACCAGGTTCTGAGCCTACTCTTCCATCTATTCCGTGTTCTTTTTTCTTTGTGTGCGTGTAATTTTTTTTTTTTCGGTACGTGCCCCCAGCGGGAACCAAACCCTGGACTCTCTGGTCCACAGGCTGACACTCCAACCGCTGAGCCAAACTGGCCAGGGCTGAGTGTGTAATTTTGGGAGTACTTTTATTAAAGCTGGGCACAGTGACACAGGGAAGGGCCTGGGACAGAAGAAGCAAAGGACACTAGGCGGAGCTGCTTTGGCTCTTCTAGAAACAGAGGGAAAAAGTGAGCCAGGCTGGGGCTGCTGTCAGCTCACTAGAGAGTCAGAGAAAAGGGGGCCGTGGAGACAGGCTCGGGAGGTTAGCCTGGGACGCACTGCCCCTGACCATTGCTCCCCTGGCTGCACATCTCCTGAATCTCCTTAGAATTTAGGAGACGCAAGCCTGAGGGGAAGAAGAGGAGCAGGGGAGAAGTGGGCGTGCTCCCGAGAAGGAGAGAGCACACCGGGTCTGTTAGCTTGAGGGTTTTAAAGGCTGGGAGTTTAGGGGCGGTCTTAGGGAAGGATCTCAATAGAATATTCATCAGTTTTTCCAGGGGTATCCTTTCAGGGTCATGGTCCCCCTCGTTAGCACCAGGGGATCCTTAGTCATTGCAGCTGGTAATTGCTCACCTGGTTTTACTGCTTTTCTGGCCTGGAGCTGAAATACAACTGAGGCCTGGACGTCAGCTCCAGGGAGGAAAGGTCAGGGGTCTAAACCGCGTGACCAGTGGCATACAGTGACACACCAGGGGAGGAAACCTACCCTGGGGGCAAGGTCCAGGGCCAGTTTTTCCCATTGCTAGGCACCTGGAGCTGTCCACCCTAGTGACCTTCTGTGTCTGGCTGTAAATTGCTTGGCCAGTTTGTTTATTTGTCTTAGTTTCCCCATTTCATGTGCCAAGGAATTTTCCTAGCTTCTTACTATCCTGCCTCATTCATCCCTCAGGTACTTTCATCCCTGAAATCTTTTAGGGGTGACGAGCAAAGGAGGGTCTGTCTTCAGTAACTACTTCCTGCGGACAAGGGGTGTGGTCCCTGCCTGAGTAGGGTATGGAAGGCTCTGCTGGATCGAAGGGACACAAGGGAATGGGATCCAAGACTGGAACAGGGAGGCTGTTAGCTGATTCTCCAAAAGGGGGGTGGGCTGGAATCCCTGGAGCATCATCAGCTTGGTATGGAATTGTATCCAGAAGTGAAGTTGGTAGATTGCTCCGTATTTCATTGACTCAAGTATTTAGTCCTGAAAATAAATCAGTTCAGTGAAATTACTGCGTCTCGTTTCAGGAGGCAGTGGTGCAGACGGGCTTCCAAGGTGAGATCTGGAGAGGCTGCCGTGAACCATGTGACTAAACAAGGTGCCAGCTGTTTCTCCAAGGGGCTCCTATCGGCTTCAAAGTCCATCTTCATTCCTTAAAGCTTTCTGGTGACATCCAGAGTCTAGGCATGTCTCTCTACATCATGACTTTCCAGTCAAAGTCTTGGTTGATAAAACCACAATCGGAAACTGGCTTTGTGTGTTCGACGAGGGAGATAGGTGATCTGAGTCACAGCACCGTATGTCACTGGCAATGTTAGTGGCGAAATGGCACCAGTTGTTACCAGTGAAGTTAAAAACCACAGAGGGAGTAGAAGGGAGCCAGCTGGGATGCATAGTCTCAGGAAACAAGGTCCCATCTATGTTGCCAGATAATTTTCCTGGAAAGGGAACCGGGCCCAGAGTGGGTCTGCCTAGGGTCAGCCAGTAGTGTGTAGGTTCTTGACTTCATGCAGGAAAGATTGCACAAGACAAGTCCAGGCGATTTTGAGAGTACATTTATTAAAGCTGGGGGCCGTAACAAGAAGGAAGGGCTTGGCGTAGAAGAAGCAACAGGAGAGAATCTGGGTGGGGCTGCTGTCAGCGCACTGGAGAGTCGGAGAGAACGGGCTTTGCAGACAGTTTCAGGGGGTGAGCCCGGGTTGAGCTACTGCTGCCCATTGTTCCCCTGGTTGCAAGTCTTGTGGGGATCCCTAGAGTTTAGGAGATGCATGCCTGTGGGGGAAGAAGAGAGGAAAGGGGAAGGAGCGGTGTGCTCCGGGGAGGAAGAACACTCCTCCGCCCTCTTCTGACGGCAGCCTTGCACACTCTCTCTGTGTTTCCTGCCACTGCAGCAGGTCCTCCTCACAGACGAGAGTCACGGGTGAGCTGTGTTATCGCAGTCACCCCAATAAAACCTGGGCATGTTGCTCTGCAGGCCACTGGCCACTTTGTTTCTCCTAGTCATTGCTTTAGAATTTTAAAACATTTTGAAATAATTTTAGACTTTCCCTCATGTCCTTCTCCCAGCTTCCCCAGTGTTAACACCTTTCATAACACAGTAGAATTCCTGAGACCAGAAAGCTAATGTTGACTGAGCACTGTTAACAAATCGATGGCTTATATTCAGGTTTCCCTGGTTTTTCACCTAATCCTCTTTTTCTGGCCCAGGATCAATTTCAGGATCCCATGTTGCATATAGTTTGCTATGTTTTTCTATATCTTCTTCCTTTGGTGACAGTTTCTTAGTCTTTTCTTGTCCTAATGACCTTGAGAGTTTTTATAGTCACGGTAAGGGGTTTTATGGAGTGTCCCTCAATGTGTGTATGTCTACTGGCTTCTCATGATTAGATCAAAGTTATGCACTTTGTGAAGAATAACACAGAAATGATTTGCTTTCTCAGCCTATCATATGGGGCACCTGTTATTAATGCTGATCATTTGGTTAATATGGTGTTTGCTTGATGTCTGCATGTAAAGTTACTAACCCCACCCCCACTGTACTTGACACGTGTTTAGGGGAGATGCTTTAAGGCTATGTAAGTATCTTGCTTTTCCTTAAACTTTCACTGACTAATTTTAGTATTTATCTGTGGATTTTGCTTGCAGTCAGGACTAGCTACATAATTTGTAGAGACCAGGGCAAAATGAAAATGGAGGGCTCCCCCCTTTTTTCTTTATTGATTTTAGAGAGAGAGGAAGAGAGAGAGAGATAGAAACATGGATGAGAGAACATTGACTGGCTGCCTCCTGCAGGCCCCCCTGGGGATCAGGCCCACAACCTGGGCATGTGCCCTGACCGGGAATTGAACCAGCAACCTCTTGGTGCATGGACCGATGCTCAACCACTGAGCCACACCGGCCAGGCACAGGGCCCTTTTTAAAAAATTAAGAATTACAAGATAGTGAACCAGAGCATTAAACGAAGCACAAGACTTTAATGACCACTGTGGGATTTTCTATTTTCCTCATTACTTAGACATTTAGTAATTGGAATTCTTCTGTAAGAAAGAGCTGTCCCCATTCCCCCAGTTATGTATTAAGTCACTTATTAAATTGTTCATTCGATAGGAATGTGTAGATGTTCACTTTACCCTTTGCGTTATAAGCCAATACTATTGTTGTTTATTTTGCTGCTCACATTGTTTCCACTGCGACTGTCACGGGACAGGGTCCGGCCGGAAGCAGGTCTGCCTCAGGCTGGCCTGGAGTGTGGGTTCTTGACTTCGAGTAGGAAACATTTCGCAACCCAAACCCAGGTGGGTTTGAGAGTATGTTTATTAAAGCTGGGCCAGGAGTTAGGGTAGAAGAAACGACGGGGGAGGGCCTAGGCGGGGCTGTGCTCTGGCTCTAGAAATGGTACAGGAAAGAAGGGAGCCAGGGTGGCTGCTGTCAGCTCACTGGGAAGTCAGAGAAAAGGGGCCTTGGAGACAGAATCAGGGGGTGAGCCTGGGTTGAGCTGCTGCTGCCTATGCTCCCCTGGTTGCAAGTCTTGTGGGGACCCCTGGACTTGGGAAGGGGTAGGGGCGTGCTCTGGAGCAAGCCTGCATTGGGTCTTTGCCCCGAGGGCTTTTTATCCCCTTTTTCCCTGCAAGTGAGAATCTGAGGGGACAGTTTCAGTTGAATATTCATCAGCTTTCCAGGTGCATTTTTTTTTTTTTTACATTCTCATGGGAAGATATTTTTCTATTTATCTTCAGATAGAGTGTAAGGGAGAGAGAGAAAGAGAAATGTCGATGTGAGAGAGACACATTGATCACTTGCCCCCTGCATGACCCTGACCAGGGCTGGGGACAGAACCGCAACCGAAGTACATGCCCTTGACCGGAATCGAACCCGAGACTCTTTGGTCTTTGGGCTGACATTCTAACCGCTGAGCCAAACCAGCCAGGGCTCCAGGTGCATTTTTAATATGCTGATGCATCAAAATGAGTGTGTAAGGGAGTTTTGCATTATTCTTTGGTCTGTTTTAGTGTTTTACTTTGATCTTAGGTCTGTCTGGCGTTAATGGGGTTTTTGTTATTTGTTCTCCAACTTCATCTGTCCTCGGGTTCAGCTGGCAGAAATGGCATTAATTGGGTGTTTGTTCTCTGTTTTCCCAGGCAAGGGTGATTTAAACTATGTATTTTCTGGTTGCAGAGGAAGGTGTAAACCGTTTGCTCTCAGTGTCCTTGGTTGGGGAAGGAAGATAAGGGCTACTGATTCATAAGCTGGTTGTAAGTTGCCCAAACTGTGTGACCTTGTTTAATTTTCTCGTCTCAGTTTCCCCGTTCCACGGGCCCAGGAATTGTCCTAGCTTCTTACTGTCCTGCCTCACGACCACCCTCACCACTGCCACCCACTCAGGGACATTCTACTCTCAGCACCTTCGCTGGGTGACCCAGTGGCGGCCGAGGGCTCTGGGCTTATGCAGACACAGGCGTGGTTTGCGCTCCGGAATCCGCAGCATCTGGAAATCCGAGGAGCTCCCCAGAACCCCCCTTCCCTGGTGGTTGTGCTCCCGTTACCTCTGACTTTGGCTCCTGTTCCCTCGGGCCGGCCTATCCCGAGCGTCCAGATGCTGAGTGCTAGCCCTTCGGGGTTCTATAAAGGGACCTGCTCAGAGGAGCTTGTGAGGCACAGCGGGCTTTTCTGAAGATCAGCAGCAAACGTGGGGACGTGAGGGAACGGGAGGGGCCTCGGATGCTGGGGGCGAGAGGCAGCCCCCTCGTCTGACGGCCTCGCTTCCTGGGCGCCACCAGCTTCCATTGCTCCTGTGGCTGCGTTTGCATGGTCTCCTCCTCTCCTCCGGGTCCCCCACCCCCTCACAGGGGTGGGCCCTGACTCCTGCAAGAGAATTCGGCCTTGACGTTGGACCCCACCTGGCTCGAAGGGGCTTCTCTGGGAGGCATTTGGAGCGTGATTGGAGAGCGAACTTGTCTTGCTTTGTAACTGTTGCTATTTGCTCTTCTGGGGTTTCCAAAGCTTTCTGGAGTTCTGCTTCTTAGGCCCTCTGTGCCGTGAGCCACTAAGGATGGGGACAGGGCAGTTTTAAAAACTTTTAATGAAAATTTTTTGGCAAAGGCAATATAAACACAAGAGAAAAAATCAAACAACGAGGAGAACATTGTGAAAAACAAGCCTCCTCCCCCACCGTTAGTCCTGCTTCTTGTTGCTTTTTGGGAAATATTTTATACACATGTTAAGCATAAGTTATGTGTATCCTGTGTGTGTATGTGTGTTCTCTGCCTCTTAAAAATAAATGGTAGCATGTTCTACATAAAGCTTTTCTTTCTTTTTCTTTTTAAAAAAATTTTTTTTTTCCTTCATTGATTTTTAGAGAGAGAGGAAGTGAAAGGGAGAGAGAGATAGAAGCATCTCAGAGAGAGAACATCGACTGGCCGCCTTCCACATGCCCCCAGTTGGGGGCCGGGCCCACAATCTGGGCATGTGTCCTGGCGGGGAATCGAACCAGCCACCTCTCGGTGCATGTGTTGACGCTCAACCACTGAGCCACACTGGCCGGACCATAAAGCTTTTCTTTTGCTTTTAAAAATTTTGACATATCTTTACTAGTTATAAATATATGTATGTAAACACACATACAAATATATTTTTCCTTGTATTCTCCACCCCCCAAACCTAGGTGACCCCTTCGTAAGCCACGGGGAAGCTCGGAGGGCATGGCAGCTTTCACGCGACCCTCTTGATGTCAGGTGCAGGGCCCAGGGTGATGACGGACACCGGGCATTGTTCCTGAGGGCTCACGGCTGTGGTTGATTGTTTCCAGTTACCTGCTGTCCACTCTGTGACGACTCTGCAACCTCAGGAAGTGACCTGTGTGCATCCCTGGGGGAGGCGTGGCCTCCTTCCTCTCATGGGCCACATCACCTCCTGCAGTCACTCCACAGGAGGAGTGACGTCATGTCAAAGTCTGAGCAGCCAGGTGGGCTCTGCTGTGTCTCTTTGTCCTTGACCATGAGAGTGGAGCTGGGGGCTGTTCCTTCAGCGTGGATCCCAGAACAAGAAGACCATCAGTAAGGCACAGCTGACCCACAGCTTATGAGTAATGTGGGTGAGAGGTAAAACTTGCTTGTTGTAAGCCCTAACACACCAGGGTTGTTTGTTACAGCAGCCCAACCTAATGGAAGCTGACTAGCGCTGGTCTGTGTTCAGCCACAGGTCCCAGATGGCTCCGAGGGACTGGTGCCTAAGGACGGAGGCCTCTGCCTCAGATCTGGGTCTACCACCCACTGATAATAAGGTTCTGGTTATTATTTCAGGAATTAAGACATGCCATGGGCACTACGACACCTCATACTTGCTGGTGGCAGTACCAATTG